GACCACGGTCATGTTCGCCGACTGACTGACAAACTCCCTGGTACGCTTTCCTCCGGGCTGTTATTGATTCACCATGTCCTTTGTTTGCACGAGGAAGTACGACAGGCTTCCCCTCAGAACTATACATGCGGCGAGCCTGAGGCTCTCGGCCTTCTTCACTTGTTCAAGCGTGCTGCCAGCTCTTGGACGCGGCGCTGCTCCTCGGCCGAAGGCGGGTCTGCAATGGGCTGTATATAATGAAGTCACATCAGCAAGGTAACTCTGCGAGGACGAAGGAGATGAGGAAAAGACGCACTTCGGTGTTGGTCGAGCCAATGAGGTCGCTCGCCCGGTCCTGCTCCTCCGGGTGGGCGAGGCCGAGGTTGTTGGGAGGGTCACGGTAGAACTCCTCGTTCTGGTTGACGACGGCACCGTGCTGTGCTCCGACCGGGTGCTTGGCGGTCGTGGCATTCTCGTCGAATCTTTGCTGTTCGCGGTCGGCCATGTCTGCGGCGCGCGGGGACTCGCATCAGACCCGGTCTTCTACCTCCATGCTTCAGAGTCGAGACTCACTTTCTGTAGGGTTGCACTGGCTTTAGGTGGGTGAAGGAGAGGGAAAGGTCGAGCAAGAAGGCACAGGTGGGGCACATCGGGACGTCCGACACGGTCGGATGACGTCGGAAATCTGCGCATTCAATTGATGAGCGCATCGACGACTCGCATACACTCGCCAGAACGTCAGTCAGCTCGTTGGAAATCGTCGAAATCTCTTTTCAGAATACGTGCGGGATAGTCTAAGACTAAAGCTCAAAAATGCAGTCAAGGTCGTCCTGAGCTCGTCAGGACAAGATCGAAGCCAGCGGCACTTCGTAGTCGTCCGCCGCCCAGTAAGGCAGCGCGCTCGACCAGTCCCATTCCGTCGTCGTATCTGCAGGCAGGGACGGCCTATATCAGCGACACTCGGGCGGAGAGAGGGTGACGAAAAGGGTTCCTACATCGCATAGCATGCAACCAGATGAACAGCTGCTCCGGTCGAGGGTCCGGTACGAGCGGCACGAAGCATGTCGAGCAGAACCCGCCGTCCTCGCTTGTTGCGTCCGAAGAATCGGGTGAAGAGTCCGTCGGAAGAGAGTCGCCATCGGCAAGCGCCGCCATGTTGATCGCGCCAGTTCCACTCCGTTTCGCCCGCTCGATCCCTTCAAGATCGCGCGCCCGTGCGTGGCCGTCGGACTCCTCCTTGATCTCCCTCAGAGCTGTTATCGCCCGCGCTGCAGCATCGGATAGTGGAAGGTCGTGCGCTTTCCGGTCGAGCGCTGCCGCCGAGTCCGTACCCTCGGAGCGGACGCTGCGAGCATAGTCTGCGTGCACATCGCCGGAGCGATTGAAGCGTGGCGGTTCTTTGCTGCGTCTGCAATGGACACGTTGGTTAGCGCAGAACAAGGTGCAAGAAAGGCGAATCCGATTCACTCGTGGCCGTCATGCGCAGTGGCTTCCAACTCCTTGGCCATGAAAGCGTCGCCTCGCTGCTGCCTCTCCGCCCGATCGGCTGCTGTTCCTCCTCGTTCCGCTCCAAATACACCTCCTTTGCCTCCGGTCGCGCCCCATGCCGCGGTGTTCTGATAGATGGGATCATTGGCTATCGGGTGGCCGAGAAATTGCAGGTGAACCTGGGTAGCCGAGGACAAGAGCGTATCAGCAAGCGGAACGCGTAGTGGTGAGGATAAGTGATCCCATACTGACCCGGATCTGATGCGAGCGGCCCGTGATGGGGCGACCTGGAATGACATCCCATTTAGTATCGTGGCCTGACTCGTGTGGTCCCAGACGAACGTCTCCGGATAACTTCGCTCGGGTGACTCACAGTGTACAACGCTGGTATTGCTTCGGGCGTCGTAACTGAGCCGTTTGAAGATGGTTTTCGACTCCTGGACGGGGGGTAATTTGCAGGATGAGTACAGTACAGGCGGACCCCGGGGCAATGACACACGCACCCGTCCCTCCGGATGCACGACATTGACGCCGATCTGACGATCAATGGTGAGTAGCGGTTCCTCGCAGACGACCTCGTCACTACGCTCGGGATGGGGTTAGTCCGATTCATGGCGAGGCTCAGCGAGCTTAGTTGAGGCAGGCTCACCTCGGGAACTCGCCCTGGCAGCGTGCTACGTATTCCTTCTTGACGCCTCCCTCGTGATTGCGTCGACCTCCGAACCAGGCGCCGAGCTTCTTCGACGCATCGGCGGTCAATGCGCAGATCATTACGCCGGAAGTTAGCCGGTCGAGCCGATTGGAAGCTGGTGTCCATGCAGTCAGTGCTTGGGTAGGGTCGGCTGTGGTGATCAAGTGAGCACGTACTGTGTACGAGCGGGAGGTCGTAGTCGTACTTCAGGATCTCCAGAAGTGTGTTGAAATTGTACCGCCCCGTCGGATGAACCTGCACGAAATGTCTCTCAGTCAATCGATGAGCCTTGCCAAGTGTGGATGCACTCACCGGCATAGAGCCGGGCTTTTCCACGACCAGCGTCTCTCCATCGTTGCCGGGTAAGCGGCCGTCGTACAAGATCTTGACTGGCCCGGCCGCCACCGGCGGCTCATGCCTACGACGCAAGAGATTGAATTAAGAGATGAGACCGGACTGTTGAGCGCTTTCAGCCGACGCACCGGTGCATGATGTTGGAGATCAGGTCGCCATTGCGAAGCACCCGGTCCGGCGTACTCTTTTCGTTGTTGACGAGGATGATGCCTGAAGGAAGAAAACCGTCCAAAAAGTCGCATTAGCGCGCATGTGCGGCATGATCGCGGTTGAACCTCGCACCAGACTCGATCGCCCATTCCTGGTGGCAGAAGAAATACAGTCGTCAGCGGCAGCAGCCGAATCGGTGGACGGCCAAAAAAACTGCAACTCACGTAGTATTCCGTGGTGCGGTCCCTGATCCAAGAACCTGCCCAGTATCAGCGACTATCAGCCGAGGCAGATGAGGGTACTCTCGTAAGGCGAACCTGAATTCACTATAGCTGTCGAAAGAATGGAAATGGGCAGCAGGATCAGCCGAAAGCAATCTCGCGGCCGGTCTCGTGCGGGGGGCGTTTCTCTTACACATCGATCAAAGTCCGTTCCTGCCACCGTTCTTTCGCCCAGCTGTGGAAAGTGAACCTGCGACGCGAAGTATCAGCAAGGGGTAAGACCTCAAGTCGGGAGAAGGAGGAGGGAGATGCGCGGGCAGCCGAGAGGCGCGTACATGTAGGGGGCCACTTTTCGCAGGCCATTCTCTTCGTAGTAATCGGGTTTGGGAGGGGGCAGAGCGAAGAAGCCAGTCGCCGGTGCAATATCTTTGCGTGCCGTACCCTTCTTGCCCTTGCTCAGCTTGCCAGCTGTCGCGCGAGTGGCATCTGTCGCGGTCGGGTTCCCCATCACAGCCCTCTTGCGAAGCGAGTCGGCGTGTAGCGATGCGCGTGTCTAGACGAGCCGCAACACGCGTCGAATGTGTATGCACCTCGGACAGCACAATCAGCAGCGGTCGGCGAAGGATGAGCGAGGCGATCACGCTTCCGCGCGACGACTTTCGCGTGTTGGGCGCAACCCAGCGTCTGATCGCGTCTGACCAGTCTATCTCTCTCCATCTGGCATCCGACTTGAGGCCGATGGCTAGCTCGCTTCGCCGCCTAGCACAGCGGGAGAACATGGGTACCGCGTTGCCGACGCCGGTGGAGGAATTGATCGCTGGGTCCACTCTCGTCAAGCAAGGCGCAGAAGGCGTATGTAGTCTCGATCCACGTCGCCGCTAGGTGGTGACATTCACTGACATGACTGCGGGCTTGCAGCGAGCGTATCGATGCGAGCTCCTCCCGTCGCCGCTGATGACGCTCTCGTCCAGCTCCGCGGCGGAACCGGCCTCAAGTGCCCCTCTCGGCGAGGCGACACCGGCGCCCATCTTGCTGAAGCATCGGTTCCCCAAGCGTTATCGGCATCCCACACTCGATGCACTACTGACTCGGCAACGACTCGTCTCTGAAGCGCGTTCGCTCGTGCGGTGTCTGAAGGCTGGCGTAAGAGTGCCTGCGCTCCGACTAGTGGACATTCGGCAAGGATGTTTGGGGATGGAGTGGATCGACGGTTGGACGGTGCGCGAGATACTCGGCGGAGGACAAGACGACGAGGGCCTCGCCGTTGAGCCCGAGGATCCGGCGGCACCGACGACCGGCGTCCGGCCGTCAGATCTACGCCTGGATGAAGGTGGGGGTTCGCCGCTCGAGTCCAATTCGAGCGAGAGACTGACCGAGATTCTGCCTCCGTCCTCAGATGGGATGCTGGCCGCCATAGGACGCGAAATCGCCAAGATGCACCTTGCCGACATTATCCATGGCGACTTGACGACGTCAAACCTGATGCTGAGGCGGCAGAATACTCCGGGTTCTCCACCTGAGCTGGTGAGTGTGGCCACATCGTGTGACTAAGACGTGATTGAGAATGCTCACGCTCCAACCTGTGCAGGTCATCATCGACTTCGGCTTGTCTTCCTCATCGCCCATGCACGAGGATCGGGCGGTGGATCTGTATGTGCTGGAGCGCGCCTTTGCGTCCACCCACCCAGTGCTTCCGGGAACAGTGCCGCACTTCGAGCGGGTCTTGATCGGCTATCGCGAGACCATGCAGGCCAGCCGACGAGGCGAATGGGAACGGGTCGAAAAGCGCCTGGAAGAGGTTCGGCTCCGTGGGCGGAAGCGTAGTATGGTTGGATAAATTGCATGGCTCTGAGATCTGGCAGTTAGACTTGGGACCACACCGGGGTCTCCCCCACGACCTTTTCTATCGCCCGCCCTTTGGCTGTCCGGCTTCCACCACCCGCCCTTGCCTACCTGGCGCATCTGACAGGGCACCCCGGTCGCAGACCTGTGTCATGTCAATTGAGAGTATCGCTGACCTAGGGTCAGTGAGCTTGTCAGCCTTTCCTCCTTGTAGCAGAAGGTGACTGCCCAACGCAGTATATAAATGCTAAACCGGAACGATTTCTTTCCAGTCGTCTCCTGTGGCGCAGCTGGCTAGCGCAGCATGCTTATAATTGGTCTGCCTTTTGGCACGGGTCACGTGACGGTCGCGGGTTCGATCCCCGCCAGGAGAAGAATCTTTTAGGCGTGGGGGGAGCAAATCAAGACTACGAAGCGATGACGGGGCAGCAAATGCTGCACCCATAATCTTTTGTTTCTTTGCATCCCCACCTTGTCGCTATCATAGCTCTTTGACACGGCAGGGATACCTTTTTTCCTTCAGGTTGCAGGCCTGGTCAGAGGTTGAGCAACCCTTTGAGTGTGGCACTGGCAACTTAATGCAGTACAAGTTGCTTGACAATCCCAAACCCGAGCTTGCACAGGGTGACCAAGACAAAGGTGAAAGCACTGCTGTGGACAGATAGATAGATAGGTAAGTCACATTTCGAGTCATATCAAGCTATAGAAGCCCATTGTGGACACCGAGCCTCCTACTGCATGGAGCTGATTTTGACCTCAGATTTGCAGTCCAGCCTGGTACTGCCTAGAGTTCAAGCTAGATGTGTAGATCTCGCTTCAAGTTATATTGAGCTAGAGGAAGCCCATATAGACAAAATACTCAAAGCACAGGAGGGGAAATAAAGGAAGTGAACAGATGGATAGATAGATAGGTCTTGTTTCAAGTCATATTGAGCTAGGGAGCCCATGTAGACCAAAGATACTACTCAGAACGGCCTAAAGAAGGAAAGGCCTGAAATAAAATCCTGCTCGTCCGAGTCAGGAAAATTGAATTGGAAGAAGTGAGGGAGGGTGTATGGTGCGCAAAGGGTGGTGCGCTATGTGAATGGTCAGCAGATGGGGGGAGCTATGTGGCTATCCAGAATGAGGGGGGTCTGGGGCAGGCGGCGAGTAGAGTGAGTTGAATCAACCCCGAGTTGGCGAGGAAGGGGAGTCTGGAGAGCCGCCTTGGTGGCGGAGGGGTTGCTAAGCAGGACGGAGATGGGTGAGAGGGTCGGCTTGCGAAGTTCTGAGAGGAGGGTGGCGCAATGAGCGGCGTAGAGTGGGCAGAGGAGGAGGAAGTGTTCCCGGGACTCGACTTCTCCACACTTGCACAGCTCCTTGTCCGGATCAAAGTGCGTGCGGTAGGTGCCAAAGTTGCATGCGCTGGTGTGTAGTTGGGAAAGCAAGGTCGATTGCCATTGGAAGAGCTGAGCATGAAATTGAGAGAAGGAAGGGCCAGGAGGGGATCTGGCGATCGCGCAAAGGCTGGTGCCGGTTGTCGCTGCAGACCATTCCTTGGCCCATAGGATAGGATAGGATAGATTCCAAGTTTTAAGTTGTTTGAGCCTAGCAAAGACTCGTGTTGACTGGGGCCACTAACGAGAGTGAGCCACCAAACCAGCTAACTGGGGAGGGGTAAACAGAAGCGAGGGAAGGGAAGTATACACGCGGGAGGAAAGACCCCGCAGGGAAAACCCGCCAGAAACGAGAGTAAGGAATCACAAAACATAGAACAGGCGCGGAAACCGACCTGTATCTTGAACAAATCTGAGGAGGGAGCTGGTGTGGTGCGGCGCAAAAAGGTCGACTGTCATGGGCGTTGAACCTCCGACCTTGCGTCGAAGCGTCACCCCGCTGTGGGCGAAGCGTTTGCTGGCGGTGGGCAGCTCGTTAGCTAGCCCATATGGCTGAGATGCTTCTGCGCAGCTCCCAGCTGCCACTGAGACGTCCCTCGCCGAGGTTGCCGTCTTGCGTTGAAGGCGCTCGGGCGGCGATCCGACGAGTCGTCATCGCCGAGTCGGCTCTCCTGGCTCCTGCCTCGTACTCACTGTTGCCACTGTCGCTGGAGGATGACTCGCTGGCGGTTTTAGGGTCAAACGTCATGACCCTGTAGCCCTGCCTCGCCCTCACGCGCTTCTCGCGAGCGGCTGTCAACTTTGCGAGCGCACGGCTCGCTTCGTCGACTGTCATCTTTGCCAACTCATCGGCCTCCTCGTTGCTGATGATGCCAACATGACCGGGAACCCAATGTACAATAACAGCAGACTAGGGATAGACTGGGTGGGGGAGTGTGAACATTGGACAGGATAGGACAGGATAGGACAGGATAGGATAGGATAGAATACATTTTAAGTCTAAAGGAAAAGAGGGATGAACTGAAAGTGAGGGCAGGCAGTAAAGCATGTCAAGAGCCGGAGTCAGTGAGAAACTGGAGTGTCACCTTTGTTGCGCAGGGATCGCCTATGAGGCGCATTTTTAACCAGACTGACTGCTGTGCGCTTGCGGCGGCGAGCTGGAAACTTGAGAACCTTCTTCCTTCGGTGCCTGCTCTCTGCCAACCCCCCCCCCGCGCGGCCCTCTTTTCCTTCCTTCGGCTCAAGAGCCCACGCATGCCTTCCTCCTCAGTGACCCGCGCGTCACAAAGGCAACTCTAGGACTTATTGCCGACTCGGGCTGCTGCAACACGCTGTACTGCGCGTCTATATATCTATCTGCCCGCCATTGGAGGACCTGCCATCTCGAGTTCTGATTCATTCTGTTCTGGCCCTCTCCCCTGATCCATTCTGTACCCTCCGTCTTTTCCGGCATGATTTTCCTGACTCAAAAGAGCAGGTTACTTCGGTCCATTCCTTGCTTCCTCCTGGCGTAGTATCCTTTGTCTACATGGGCTCCTTAGCTTGACATGACTTGAAACAGGATAAGATGTACATGACGAGCTACAAGTTCCAATTTCTCCCTGGCCCTAGAGTAGATTGTGCTGCCTACAGTATCCTCTGCCTTGCAGTGATGGGTCTTGTCTCCACGCCGCCGTCCGCCTGTGGGTGCAGCTGTACGTGTTTGTAATTGGCGTGGCCAAAAAGCTTTTACAACCCGGAGCGGCTAGCTTTGCGCACCAGCAGGGCGTCCTGCACACCTTTGAGACACTTTTCCAACAAGCTGCTGCTGAAGGATGTCGTTGCTGTTGTTGTTTTCAAGGCAGCGCAAAAGGCGCCATAGGCGCGCTCCTGAATGTTGTCCTCAGTTGGCAGCCAACTCTGCGCTGTTATTTCTTCTCCACCCAGTACCTCCGTCACCCAGTCCCACTCATTGTTCTCGCGCTGCCAGTCAACCCTCCTCACATGCATATGCACCGGCGCCTGCAACCTCGCATGTACAAGGCGCACTTTGAACCCAAGCAACTGATGTGCGCGTGCGGCAGCGAGCCCCAAACACGCCAACTTTCCTGTCTACACTCCCTGCTCTGTGCCTCACCTTGCGCAACCCCCTCGTCTTGCCGACCTCCTCAGCCATACCTGTGCAGATAGATAGATAATTCTTGTTTCACGTCATATCAAGCTCATAAGCCCATTAGACCGGGAATACTACACAAAGGGAGGAAGCGCAGCAGTCGGTCTGGTTAAATGCGCCTTATATGCGCCGAGGTTCCAAGCTCCAGTGTGTACTTGGATGAAGAGGGTGAATCGGTGTTTCAAGAGTGACAAGTGTAAGCGAGAGAAGAAGGGGACAAGTGGGGATATGTAAATAGATAATTCAAGCTTCAAGTCAAATCGAGCTATAAGGAGCCCATGTAGACTTGAGTCGGAGGGAGGAGAGGATAGGCTAGGATAGGATAAATTCCAAGCTTAAAGTCGTTTGTTAAAGTCGTTCGAGCCTAGAAAAGACTCATGTCGAGGAGAGGAGGGTGGCGCGCATTGAGGCGTAGAGGGGGCAGTGGCGGAGGAACTGTTCGCGGGTTTCCGGCTCGCCGCCGCAAGCGTACATGAGTCAGTCGTTCAGGTTTGAAAAGCGCCTTGTATGCGCGGAGATTCGAGGAAGCAACCACGCGACATTGGCTGCCTGTTGATGACAACATACAATTTTGAGCTGCATTGAAAGCAGACCAGCCTGCGGAGAGGTTACGCCTCCCAGCGCGCCACCCTACACGACTTTAAACTTGGACTTTATCCTATCCTATCCTATCCCTCCTCTCCTCCCTCCGACTAAAGCACTCTCTCTTGCATTCCTCCTCAGCGACCCGTGCGCGACAAAGGCAACTCTATGGCTTCTCGCCGACTCTGGCCGGTTTGATTCTCTTTACTCCCCGCCCTCCAAAGCTCCGCCCTCTTGATGCCTGATACATCTTAGCGTACCCTACGCTTCCTCCTTCTCCTACTATACCCCTCTCTCTCTCTATCCTGTTTTCTCCTCTCTGTACCATCCTCTTTGTGCAATTGCACTCTTGGTCTACATGGGCTCTTTAGCTCGACATGACTTGAAACTTGATTTATCTATCTATCTATCTATCTATCTATCTATCTATCTATTTATCTATCGGAGAGGCCTCTGTGCAGTAAGCGACCATCTCTCATCTTGCCAGAGCTGCTGAGAAGCGACAAGGGCGAGGCGGCGGATGACGTCCGTCCAAGTCCGGCTCGGCTCTCGGGCTTGGCCTCCTTCTCCCTCCTTCTCATCGCTATCGTTGCTGCTGCCGCTTGTGCATGACTTGGCATACTTGTGGCGGCACCTTAGCGTGAAACAGCCTCAGATTGCCTGCTGCTCCCGCCTTCGCCAGGCCGCCAAGATTCCGAGTCATGTTCCCTCCCACCCCTGTCCCCATCCTCTGAACACCCGTGTAGCTGATCTTCCCCCTGTGCCAAGAACCTATCCGCACACCCTCCTCTCTCTCACCCTCTCCCCTATACCCCTGATTCTTTTAGCTCCTCGTTTCCCTCACTTTGAATAGTACCTGCAGGTCTACATGGGCTTTCTAGCTCAACATGACGTGAAACAAGAATCATCTATCTATGTATCCCTTGCACTGCCTCTTTTGCCAACTCCCCCGCTTGTTCAATTCCCTCCACTTCAACAACAATTGACCTAGGACTTTTCTAGGCTCGAATGACTTTAAGCTTGGAAGTTATCCTATCCTATCCATGGCCCAGCCCCCAGTGAAGGATAACACAAACACCAGAGTGAGTTAGAGCGAGTATGTCAAGCTGCAAGCGGGTTGCTAGACAGAGTGGCAGGCCGGGAGAGGGCAACTTCGCGCCGTCGCCTCCTCCCCTCCTGGTTCTTCCTTCTCTCGCTTCCACTCTTCGCTCTCGCGCCGCCAGTCGACCCTGCTCACTCGACTCCGCACTGGCGCCTGTGACCT